TTATATTATATTATAATTACATTATATTATATTATACTATACTGTAATTATGTTATATTATATTATATTATAGTATAGTATAGTATTTGTTAAATGCGATCACTGCCGGGAGCGGTAAAGACGAGCACGTTATGTTTGGCTGACGAAGCTAGATTTGGTGAGGTCCACCCACAACTAAGACAAAGGTGGCTACATGCTTTGCGCGTCCATGCCGCTCATAAGTTTCACAATACGGGGTTGCATCAACCGCGTGCCGCCGTTCCCTACTACCTACACCGGAACGTTGGTTATCTTTTTCGGACTTGCTAGTTTGCTTCCGTTTATCACGATTTCCTGTCCAAGTTTGACCACTCCGAATGACTTATCCATGATAGTCATGTACGAGGCTGTCCTCGACGTCGCAGATAGGAAACCGCGACTGTCCTACACAGCCTGGTAGCTTGCACGTAGTGCACTATAGCTCTGTTGTTCACCCGCCGAGGGTGCTAAATGTGCTTGGAAGACCGTACCACCTGGCCGAATCAGTGTAGAAATCTCTCAGGTGCTAGCCAGCTTATTACATTCTTTGCGAGCACTGCCCGTGAACCGGCTAATTTTTCCCATGGCACTATCAAGGGGTCAGTCTATCGGTGAAGCCCAAAACCTGCCGTGCACCCAATACAGTGTATGCTGACCATCATGAAAATATCCGTGACGAGAAACATATCTTAATTTTCCTAGGTGCATGCTGCAGCGGCAGAATGGAATTTTCTATATAGGTCACGAAAGGCCGCTTTATTTGAAACTTCCCACGCAAGGGCGATGTAATCATTTCTTATCTACTGTTTCAAAATGTTTCAAAATCCAGGACAGGAGGAAGCAAATGAGGAAATAACTTTTCTTACCCAATTGCCCACCGTCTACATGTAATAAACATGCTGATCCCTCCTAGCCATGAAAATGGTGAACCCTGTGTCCAAGTGAAATCCGAAGTACGCTTAAACAATCTTTTGAAGAAGTGTAGGTCTCTGGAAAGATTTAAAGCTCCAATAAATGCCAACGAATCCCAAAATGTTGTGTTTCCTCTGTCCAAACTATGGTTTCGGAAAAATTTTGGGTCGGCGCCGGTCGCCATCCAAAGCGGATGTGCTGGTAATTTATCACGTGAAATAAGGCCTACCGCCTATTTTGAGGAACGCGTCCTAAATGAAAGGCCCACTAGACCTCTTAACCATTACGCTATGGCGCGAAAATTGCTTGAAGGAAATTCACGGGAGCTTTCGCTCTCCAAACCGGATTGAGTCAAGAGTGGTTTTCATTTATTGTCCTAGCCAAAGATGAACGAGGGAGGCATATAGAGCCACTTGGTTCAAACAGACAAATCCTATACCCACTTGTACATGTTCCGACGGCGATCCTGACAGATTTGTGGCCCAAAACAACTGATCGGGCTATGGGGCAACGCCCTGCCAGAGCTTCCATACTTGGCTTCCTCACGTCGTATTTTTATCCTGGCCATACCGAAGCTCACCTGTCACCAGACCTCTCGTCTTTTGATTGATTTTACCCAGCCATATTAGACAAATGACGTGATTACTTGTACAACACATCATTTAAGAATGGGGTCTTCAAGCTTTCAACGTCTTTACGCCTACGTTCTGCCGAATGTTCGCTGTCTAGAAGAAGGAGCGTGGGAAGCCCTAGTTCCTTCCGAATTTAAACTGCCCGAAATTTCCGTGAGATTCTTCGTGAAAAGTGTAAATGCAGGATATGGCTAGACGCATACAGGCGCCAGGATAGATTAGGTAAAAAAATTTCGCAAAAAAACTGAGAACTTTCTCAAGTGTGCCAAAACTCTCGTGTTCTGATACTGACAGTAGCCCTCAAATACTCAGCTCTAGCTATCCAAGTTCATCTAACTGATTGTATTGTAACTGAGAATGGTAAAAATAAACCGTACACAATAACTACGAATGATTTAACACGACCCGACAAATAACCCACCGATACTCCTTTTGAAATCAAGTGGCATCCAATTAAAGCCTCAGGCTCCTCTCCTAGTAACTGGATTATGCTGAAACGGCTGACATCCCTGCCCAAATCCCACGCATGATCAACTTGCACATACTCGCATGGCTCCGGCATCTATCATCTGCAGTCAGTTTCGTTGCTCTTTGCTTCTGTTAGCCACCACTGTCGGATCGTATACCTTCGTGTGCTATATGTTCGTCGGTGGGTCTCTTCCACCGAAATCCGAAAGACACCAGCAGCTGTACCTAATTTATTTAGCTTCAGTGAAGCTAAAGATATTCACGTCATTCTGCATCATCGTCGGTATCCAATGTTTGTATCAACCTTCATACATTGGGTGTGGCCCTAATGAGAGCGATAAACTCACCCCAAAACTGCCTGATATGTTCCGGTGTCTGTTTGAGTTTTCGATACTCATGATGGGGATCAACCAATTTTTTGCGAACTGCCCACCATCTACGCTTCCTATTACCACTTGCGGTGCGCCCCTGAGGGCAGATTATTCACTGTTCTTGTCGACCACAGGCCCCCCACTTATTCAGACGCGTCGTCTATCGAAAAGCATTTACCCTTTGGGATGCCATATTTGGGCTTTATATCGCGGCACACAGGCCTCGTCAGACACATCTAGAATCACGGAAGCGCCTTGTTTGATGCCTTATAGTTTCGTGTGAATCTCCCGCAAGGATTTTTTCGCATTATAACTTTATAACCAAGGGGTCCGGTGAGCACTTTCTTTTAGGACACGCATGACACGAATAGGAGTACACTTCGCTGAAAGAAAGACAGGTAAGACGAGGTAAGTCAAATAAGAAAAAATAAATCAGGCTGCGAGGCTGAAAAACCAGTGATAGGGCTTCCCGCTAAACTATCTGTTTCAGCATAGAAGGACTAGAGTGGCCTTCAGAAAACAGGAATCACCTCACAATCGTTTGAAGCTCCCAAGATTTCTGGGGGACTTGGAGCCAGTATGTGGGGACTTGAGTCAGACGACTGTCCAAGCCTCTGAGCATTCCTTTGTGACATCTCATAACTGAAATATGAAGTAAGGAAGCCGTAAGAAATTGGTCATCTGTTCACTTTTTGGTAACCTCGCGCTGGCGAGCATACTGCCCCGCGCTGAGAACGTAAAGATCAGTGCTACACCCTTTTTTCACCTGTGCCTTTCAGCTGAACGACAGCCACTGACCGACAAGAAAAAAAGCGACCCGGGAAACTTGGGCAATAGCCTCGATCCTGTGTATCAATCCGTGAATCCGTGACCCCTTTGTTTTAATTTACCAACCAAGTTAACAACAAGAGTTTATAACTTCTTGCGGTTTGAACTAATGTCACAAACGCGAATCAATGTTGTCAAAGAGCGATTGCATGATTATCTTTACGGTAACCTAACAAATATGCATCAAAGCAGTTGATTAGATCCGATTTACACGCTTTCAAGTGAAAGAGATCATGAAAGGGTTGCGAGAAGAGCACGCAACCGACTAGGTCGCCTGGAGAAACTTTTTAATTTCCATAATTTATTCAGCGAAATCCCAGTCTATCGGCCCTTTGAATGGAAATTTGGTGGAAGAGACCCAGTTCCACCTTCTGTCGCTAGAGAATTCCGTCCTTCCGACATATGTGGAGAACTTTTAAAAAGGTGATTTTTTGTTGACGGCTGTTAGTATTACATTGTAAAGGAAGCTAAAGGCTACCGGCGTATATCACTTTGAAGATGATGTTGCTGGATTCCAAAGGTCAAAGTACTTCAACCACTGCATAACAAACGTCGGAAGATATGTAAGCTTATGCATTTTCTTGGGATTAACAGATCATTGAATTTTTAATTTTTGTAACCTATGAGCAGTTCATGAAAGACTCTGTAGGATTTTAATGAAAAATGGAAACAGGTCTGTTTGTTGTACAAGAGCTTAGCCCTTTCGTCTGTATCGCTGTCCTGTCACTCACAGACCAGTCGCCTTTCTGGCTACTCTACGTATTCCAAAATTGATCGTTTGTCTTAAATGTATGTATAATCTGCAGGATTTTTGTACTTAGTTTTAGCCGAAAGACACTCATATTTACCTCCAGGATGCTATTGTGATTCTGATTTTAAAAGTAAGCTTACTTTTGCTAAAAGAAGCCACTACCTTTTTCACATTGTAAGAGCGCCAAAGTGACAGCCAAGATTGTAAGAAGAAATCACTGAATCAAAAGGTAGCCGACACGACGTAATTCAGAGCCAATGATTCCTAAAACTTTATGCGTAGCTCCTCTTGATCTTCACAACAAAAAATCCACTGTGACATCTGAATTTACGCATGCATTAGCCCAGTTGCTGCTTGTAATGCGAAGTTAATCACCATCTATTTCTCCAGATAAACGAAAAATAGGAACGTAGCAGTCATGAACATTGAACGAAACTTACGCGGTTTTTTAACATGACGACAATGGCTTTGACGATGATAGTGAAACCCGAAAATAGAAGACATGACGGTGTAAATGATATGAATGGACATGTATTTATGATAAATATATACATGATACACATAGCCTCTGACAGTGAAATCTGGAGAGTGAACTTATATCCTTCAAGCAATACTAGACAGCAGACCTTGATGATTCGTCTCAAAAAGCCTCAGTTAAGGAAATCAAGCATGGTAAATAAGAATGTAGAAAGTTGCTTTATTCCATGTTCGAGGCTGAAAAAGGAGAGCATTTAACAGGGTACCCCAAACTCATTGCGAGCAGTAAATACCTCCGTAGAAATAAGACACTTTATAGCCTTCTGTTGTACAGGCTCCAGACAAAAAGTTGTCACAGAGTACTACGAGGCTTGCTGTTAGAGGTAGAGAAGTTTGAAAACCGTACTCATCTAATGAAGGAGGTTTCTGGGCATCATTCTATAGGCATAGAATAATATAGGGTAAAAAATTACAACGGTCAAGCGGGTAGTGGCATCCTTATAGCTTTCTCTCCTAACTGACTTTCATAAGTAAGCAACACACGGAACCTCTTAGGCATCCAAGTTATGAAGTGTATGATGGAAAAGTTTGCGTTTTTGTACTTCATTCTTTGCGGGAACAGTAATTTCATGGAAACTTATGGGTAATTTTGTCACACAAGAGCCATTGAAACGATAGCAAAATTTTTTCTATTCACTTTTGGCTGCTTTGTTCAGCTCAAGGTCTAACAATAAAAACTTTAAAAACGCTGGGTAGTTGTGACCAGACCTTTCTCAGATTTCGGGCGCAAGTTATAATCATGCTCTTTCAACAAAGTTGACGTGAATATACAATTGGATATATTCAGAATTTTTTGTACAGATGGTGTAAAAAAGGACTCAGGCGTGTGCTGCAACCTTGTTATGAGGATTTAGTAGCATTTAATCTGTAACAAGGTCCAAAAAAACAAAAAATAAGGTCCAAGGCAAGATATCATATTACTTCTAAGTTAAGGGAGTGGCACCTAATTCACACCATTTAAGGAGGACCACTGAGGTCTTTTTGGGATTTGTAGGCGGTCAGTCATCCAAATCCTAAATTTGCGCAACAGCTCTAAAGACTTTAATAAAGACCTATCTATCACAAATCAAAAAAGATACTGTCAGCATGAGCCGAAGAATGTTTGGTGGACCTTGTTACTCGTGTAGTTCTTTGGTTAGTATGGTTATCAGGATAATCGCTTGTTTCAGTTTCCTTCGCTTACTCTCAAGCATTTGTTCAAGTGAATAAATCAAATTATGTGACGTTTTAGCACCACAGTTTAGTGAGTGTGTTCTTCAGTAACAAAAATGGATAGGCTCATATATCTAATTAAAAATTTGCCCAGTAAAAACCACAGAAATACGATAAACCAAACAAACATCTGTAAATCCAATTATTTAATCAGTCAGTGGAACAAAGCAGAAAATGGATGCCTTGCTATTTCCTCTCTCAAGAGTCAGTTAAGAAACAGTGCAACCCAAAGAACTATGCTCCACCTACGGTCTGGGAAAGGAACTCTGGGCCGTTATTAACTTCAAATAAGTTTTCATAGGGTTTATGGAGGACCCAATAGCACTGCCTTACTTTAGTGAACCACTTATTCAAGTTGTTTGCCGATATCTTAAAGTATGCAATATTTCTTCACAGTGTCTCACGTGGCCTAATTTATTCCTTCGCACAATTTTCCGTTAGTGAGTTTGTAGGCCTTGGTGATATTGCGGATCGTAGTAGCTGGGAAATCACGATTTGTGTAAGTTTTGAAGTGTGTTGATTCAGTTCTAATTTCAATACCAATCACGTTAAACCAAATGTAGACCAAAGAGGCTCATGCTGTTACTATCGGTGTTTATCTCTGCTTTTGTCCGACCTCGAGCACAATGTTATTGTTCGACTGATCACATTGTTATCCTGGCGCTTTGGACAGTGACCAAACCATAAGTGTCACTGATGCTGAGTTAGTCCAGAAATCTGTTGCATATGAAAGCATAGAAAGAGGAAAGAGGCGACGGTTCAGTGAAATATTTGGGCCAGTGCCTCGGGTGCATGACTCTTATTCCCTTTTTCTATACCCAGTGAACATAGCTGTGGCAAAAGAAACGAAACCAACACGGTCTTGAGGAAGGAACACGGAAGTGAACTTGAGTTTTCTCACCTGAAATTTCGTCTTCAAAATACCCTTAAAGGCTATTTTAGGCATCACTGGTCAAACAATCCAAGCTTCTCAGCATCCCTCATTTATACCAGTTAATTCCGCATCCATTAGTCAGTAATGGGTGGATACTATATCATGATAAGCAAACTTTTTTGTCTACGTTTGGCTTCCTTCTAGTTTAGAGCGTAAACTTAAGTCGAACGAGCAAACATTAGGCACGATCTGTCGTTCGAGGATAGAATCGACTGTAAGCATCAATCATAAGCTGGTTATGAACCGACCAAAAGCTCACAACCAGTCTCGTTCTTCGTCAAACTTTCCCACTAAGCGTACTCTCCCTGCTTCCATCAACTGTACGTTTTGACTTGAACCATGTGCGCAAATATGAAAATAGCTCAGATGATAATTATAATGGCATTAACCAGAGACTTAACTGAACGTAAATGTGCTGTTTTACCGGGTATACTATTCAGAAAGACGCTGTATACATTTTCTTTAAGAAACATACTACTCATGTGACTCCCTCGTTAATCTCGATGTAACTTGCGAGTGAGGGTGTTCCAACTGATAATAGTTTTTTAAAGTCGTCATGAGTTCGAGCGAGCATGTTACTGAATACCTAGTCTTTAGGGGCCCTATGAAATGCCTCTACTATCATGCTTACTTTTTTCACACAAAGAATGTAAGCTAAAGCCCAAGTAAAAGCTGCACTTGAATAAAATGCAGAAGTTCATTTTGAATTTTTAGTACTAGAAAAACCACCATCACTTTAGCAAATTACCAGACCAGTACTTATTCGTGTGTCGAAAGACAATGCCATAAACAGACCGTGTAAACTCATTTGAGTGACAGCAAAAACCCCTGATTTGACGGACCTCCTACTTTGATTTGGAGAGTTGTACGGCAGCAGTGCTAGTGCAGAATACTGGTTTTATGCTGCCACTGATGATGATGATGATGAGTTGACTCAAAACTACGGAATTTTTATCTTCATTCTTTACACCAGGCAGCTGATGATCCAGTTCAACTGAACTTGACTTTAGACAGAATGGCAGCTGGCAACCTTTTGCTCGACAGGTGTGGCATCCATTACGGTCCTACGTACACCTCGAAATATGTTCAGACAGATTACCGGGATTCGGAGGCACAGACAGATCCTTATTCGCCTCCTTATGTGGTAAACGTGGGTGAAACTCCGGAAGTGCTTACTCTGGCCACTTTGGGATACAAAAGAGGCTTGCCTGCTGGGATCCACGATGTGGATATGATTGAACGTGCAAGAGAGCGGCACCAAATCGAAGCCAGTTTGGAGCCATACAGCCAAATTGCAAGTTCTACGAGGAAAGTGGAGAAACGTCGAAAGATTTTGCGTGAGATGGAACTTCGTGAATGGTATTATCGGGAGAAAGAGGTTGAGGCGTAAGTCAAAGTCAAAGTATTTGGGAATAGTTCTCTGCCTGGTAAATGCGTCCTTTACGCCACAAAATTATGCTTAAGGTCTTACGCTGAGAAAGTAAACCTCGAGGACTTACAAGTCCGATTGTCGGGAAATCATCTGTCAAAATCTATCCAAGGTCTTGCGAAATTTGGTCTCGACTTTTCTGAATAAACGTGACTTCCAGAACTTTGCTTCGCCGGTACAATAATCTCGAAATAATAAACAGTTTTACTAATTTTTTACTGTCATTGTCATCTAAGGCATAAGGTGGTGTGTTTGACCCAGCGTCAAAACATCTAATGCCCTGCTAATTATGTCGCAAAGTGAAATCAATTTCACAGGTTTCCCATTCCTACTTTGCCTAAACATTCTTCGTTTGGCGTAGCAATCATAATCTGTTGAGTGATGGTCTTTGTGAGAAAATTCACCATCAAAACGCTTTCTTAATTGTGCTCTCTCCTGAGAGAACGTGGCTGCTGGCGTTTCGACGGCCTACGGACGGTCTGTCGTCTCATATATTGACCACGGTGGACGACCACTTCCATCGCAGTGACCGATCGCTCTAAGCATTTGGATCAACTTGACCAAGTCGTTCCATAATTAGTGTTAAAATCTCCGTTAGATGTCATTCCTCGTATTACTTTAAACAGCTCAATTGGGTTTGCTGACTTCTCGTGCAAGTTTCGCCGTTCATAGTAGCTATAAATTCGTAAGGTTTTTAAGATATCCATGATGGTTCAGAAATCGCTTTGACGAATAGTCACAAAGAACACTGCTGCTTCCATCTTGAATGCCCAGATTCGACCGCCTGTGGCTGCCGACAACCCTGCCAGTTATCAGAACGGAATGAACTGTGGAGAAGTTCTTTGAGGCCATGAGACAAAAATTTCGATAGGGTTCCGGAATCCATGAAGGAAAAACGTCTGTACAAGATACTATGTAATGGCGGTATCTTAATAGGGATCTGGGTTCCTTTGTATTCGAGTCGATTTCTAGTCAATCTGATATGACAAATTTCAAAGAGGGATCCATTTTGATTGCTTAGCAAGTAATATCAATTTTTAACAATTAGTGTATATATACCTTTTACTATCAATTTTCCTTTTTGTCTCGGATTGTATACTCTTTGGAACATTGTGGAAGCTTAATTCTCCCGATTATGGAAGGTACAAGGCGCAAGCATTATACAAATGTGGTATTTTGCTCGCGAGTTGGTGGAAGCTGTTTGAAATCCTCTTGTATTCTCTTTCGAGAGAAACCCAATAACGATATCTTCTTTGGTCATACATCGTTAACCTTTTGAATTCCAAATCCATTTCGGACATAACCTTGGTTTGCTTCTACGACATTCCCACGCAGTTTCTAATGTAGGGTTTGATGCTTGTTTGCAATCACCTGCAGCCGTGTATAAATGCACACAGAAAAGAGGATCAAGGGAAACTTAGCAAGTCAAACTATGCGTAGCAAAATATAGGACCACCAAAACCAGAATATAGGCATCCGGTCGATCCAGTTGTTCTTTTTCGGCAACATAAAAATCATTAAAAATTATTAGCTTTGAAGCAGACTCTCTATGTTTGAGGAAGCTTTTTCACTTCAGTGTCGGACACCATATATGCAAAAAAACCCGTCATCATCAGTTTAAAATTGTGGATAAACGCTTACAGGTTCTGTCATATTAGGATACTTTTGGACAGTCAAAATTCTCATTTCTCACCAAATGGATCCTGAAGAACTACTCCTAGAGAAGGGTGAAAAATGTGACCGACGTTATGAATTTCTTTTAGTTTGCAAGAAGTCCGAATGAAAGTGTTGGTTCAACTGCTGCGTAAAAGGGAGATCAACCAGGAAGAGATAGCTACCAAACGTTTGGAAAGAATGTGGACGGAACAAGAGGCGGTTAATGAGTCTCGCAGGAAAGCAATTCAGAAGCGATATATCACAGGTTAGTGAGAGGGTTTGGCATTGTGCATTGCAGTTTGCTTTGTTTTAGGACGTGCAACCCACGGAAACCAAGCTGGGACATCCACAGTCGCAGGGGGTTGTGTCTGGAAATAGAACTCACTGAAAGAAGGTAAAGTAAAGTTGCTTCATGGTGACTTGGATTCAAGACTAAAAAATGATGATTCTGCAAAAAAAATGTGTTGCTTAAGTCTACTTTTGGCACAAGTGAATGATTCTAGTGCCACATTGGCCTTCACACTTACTAAGGTCGTGACCCTCTTTTCAGTATGCTGGTCGTCTGGTCAGTACTGGTCATCTGAAGACTTCCAAAGTTGTTGGCCAAACACTTGGTATACGCAGTCTTATTGTAATCAGAGTGGATTGACAGTAAAAGGTTAGATGTCAGTTTTAGACAGTAATAGGGAGGTTTCATCCAGGATTTTGAGAGGAGGCTACTCTTATATGGGTGCCAAGATGACAGTGGTCTTCTGGAAAGAACAGATTCGCATTTCGTACTCATCTTATCCACCGTACAGAGTTTGCTAGACGGTCATCAGATGGTCCCCCGAGAAGTTGACTGTGGATTTGGGATGCTGTGAGCTATTCGACATCGCAGCTTCTGTACACATTGTTCCAAATTTTACCTACTTTCCTCTTACAAGTAATTGAATTGGGAGACCCACGTATACATCTACCGGATGAGCTCAGCATATTTGGAAAGCAGTCGTGTGTTTGCCCGTTTTCAGAGGCAATTGGACAATTAGGTTTCTGATTACGCTGAGTGCAGAAACCGAGCAAGATCTAGCTGTCACGGGCACCTAGCCTAATCATTTGTACCAATGAACAACTCTTCATCTCAAGCCAACCGCTGACAATTTGAACAGACTTGAAAAGTTTACATAGAAATAAGTTGTAAGGCACACTGGTTGCATCTCACTGTCTCCTCAAAACTACGGAACGATACCAGATAAACAGAATGGACGAAGGGCTGCTGTATCCAAGCAGGAACGCACCCCACTTGTTCAAACTGAACATACTTGCCGGTACTATTAGGGTAGGTGACAGAGTATTCATATGTGAAACGGTGAAAAAGAACAGATCACCCACCGAGGTAAGAAAACTTTAAGTATTGGGATCGGGACTCACTTGCATGTGGCCTGATAGCTTAGTAATCGAGTTAAGCAGGTGAAGTCAGACACCACTCCACCAGCTTGCTTATGTAAGGGTGCAGTTGCAAACAAGGATGTGATGAGGTGCTGATAAAAAGGTAATCGTTCAGCTGCAGCCCACCTTCGGTGCCTAGCTATTATGACACCCGAAGGGCTGGGATATTGTCGGGTTGCCCAAGCCTAGACAGGGTAAGTCGAGATACAGAGGTCGAGTTTGAAACACGGAATTTCCGATCTGAACTTGAAATTAGCAAGTGTGAATAGCAACTGTTTGCTTACATACATACATTGACATGAAATCGTGAAATTCTTATGTGCCTTTGTCTATAATACAAAGCCTTGGAATGCCAAAATGAATGAACTGTAAACATCTACTTCAGTTTTGTTCAGAAGATATCGGTTTTAGCCTTCAAGATGATCAGTATAAAGAGGTCGAAGGTGCCACCATGAGAAGTGTTGGCCTAAGCATTCATGACCACCATTGAAATGTAAATGGAAACTCTCACCGGAAGGGCTAAACTCTGCAAAAGATATGATCACAATAGCGTAGTGATAACAAGACAAATACAGGAAACCACACGGCTGTTCCAGGCACTGTATGGCTCACCCAAACATGAAGTTAACAGCTGAGCACGGGATGAATGGCACGCTCTTCTTCCTTGATATCCAACTGGTCCACCGAGATGACGGAACAATGCGGGCTCCAGTTGACCGGAAATACATTCAGACTGGTCACCGCGTCCATTTCTTCAGTAGACCGACAACCAGTAAAAACGCACGGAGGATACTGTCAAAGAGGAAAGTAGATATCTGGAGGATATATTTCGTCAGAGGCTTTGGAGGAGAGCAGAATCCTTCGGCTGAGGAAAGAAAATATTTTCTCGAGTTTAAAAGTGAGGTTTTTCTAAATGGTAGTTCCATAAATGACAATGCTAACAAGCCGGGGGCATTTAAACCGAGCTGTTAAAGGTACTCAGTACACCACCAAACCTGTACTCAACCACATCTGCAATCAAGACCCAACCTTTGTAACCACGCTTCTGCTCCCCTAGTGGGTCATCTCCAATCCTTTTCACCGTTTCACATTTGGATGCTTGGCCGTCCAGTTCTGCAGAAGTTAAGCAATTCCACGGTAAGCCGGTGGAATACCTCCGGATTTGAATGCAGCAACTTGAGTCTTCATCCATAACCAGCCATCCACCTGAAAGTGAGCACTGTGTCTACCAGACAACTGCTTTCGATATCGCCAACATCATGGCGAAAGGTAGTATACTGCAGTCTCCGAATCCATTGACATCAGATGGTGGAAGCAAGAACTGCGCAAAGAGAAGGAATGAATCATATCGCTAGCAATCCATTGAAAATTAACTTGCATTTAACATCATAATGGCGAAAACCTTTATTCTCCTATATTCACCTGGTATTATTTTGTAGTATACACCCGGAAAGTTACAGCATGTTGTCCTCGGTGTACCGAATAACAGTTCGCTTCACTAAATTCTCCTTAAAGTTGTAACGGGACGATAGTGTCTCACAGTTAGGACGGTACATCATGTATAGCGGAGTTGCGAAATGTAGTCGCTTCGTGCACTCTGTTCTGCCACAATATCTATACGTGTGGATAACGAATTGCAAAGGTAATCGCTTTGCTCAGATTATTCCGGGGATCACATCCAACTTGGGTAAAAGCGGAACCCTTAAATTGAAAACAGCAGACAAGGGTATAGGCGAATTTTTTTAGTTAGAAATTAACACGTCTACGAATAGTACTTCTCCAGAAAGACTTTTCCAAACATTGAGGATGAGCCTACCTTTCGTCAGTTAATAATCGATGCACCAGAGCTTGGTTGACCTGTTACTTTTGACTGTTCAACCTTGTATCGCTTCTTACTACTCTGTGGTCTTTTTAAAAATACAACATTCACAGGCCTTTCTCGCTTATGTTTTGCGTCTTTCCCTTGGGTTTTACATTAACGGTGATTTAGGATCGCTTAAACAATTCTAATTTGAGAGCGATAGCTGATCTTTATTGACTTTTCTATGGAAAGCGATCCTGATGGTGAAATCTCCCTTTTTAAGCGCTACGGAAGCTGGTACGCCGTCGTCTGGAGACTCAGCATCAGAAAAATAAACGTGATGTAATAAAGGAATATGCCACTCCATCGTCGCAAGCATTCGCTCCACTTACCCGGCTCGGCGTGTTTCCAGATCGAGGATCCCAGGCATTCGCTGTAAAGAATGACTACCTTACCACGTACAACGGTGAGCTAAAACAACCACAGTATTCATACATGCCCATTATTTTTGTGCCGATTTTCCGGTAGACATTGACAATCGAAGATATCTAAGTTTCGGCTATTGTATATTCATTAGTCCATTTTGCAAGGTCACCTATGTTGCCCATTTTGATATGCTGTGTTAACTTCGGACCGTTTTGGTACCTTACAAACCTTAACGAGTCGCAAGTATCTACCATAATCAGGCCATACATGTACACTAAGGACACTCATGCTGCACGCGTTGATGGGATCTGTCCAGAGGGGTCGCTCCAGAGAATTTGGACGGTTTAGAGGGTGATTCCAACAGAAGATTGCTTGAGGATAAAATGTGTCTAGGTATGACTTTGACATTAATCTGTTAACTGTGAAAAAGGAAGGGAAGGAGGCAAAAGGAAAAGGGGAAATTGATGCTCACTTTTATCCCAATGTCGGCTCATGACAGAAAATGAGTAAGTCCACGGAGAAATAGTCGTAACACATCTCATATTGGGTACAAACGTTTCTGTACTTCTGTGTTGGGATTAGTGCACTAAGTTTAAATCTAATAAAATGCTGTTTAGAACAATGGATTGGGACTTATACGGAACTTACTCATATAACCATGTTTTTCAACATCTAACCAATACAGGACTCCTACAGCTGGAGGCTACCTTCTCATCCAGTGTACTTCAACCGAAAATTCATATTCCGCCTGTTAAAATGTATACTAAAGAGGGTTTCCTCAGAAGAGAATTTCGGCACCTACAGGAGCTAGCAAGCCTTCAAAAGGTGAGCCTACATATTTGATACAGAATATTCCCCATGGTTAACCGACATGTGACTGCTTTCAAAAACAGCAAAAGTTCCATGAGTTACGCTGAGTTCGCTTCAGTGGTTTCAGTATGATGTTATTATCCCCAACATTAGTAGGTTTTCTGGAATAATAGGGATGAAACACGACTCATTAGGGTAGCCTATTTTTTGGAATTCACTCGCGTTATGCACCTTGAGCCTATTTCTGTTTGGGTTTGAAGGAACCACCCTGACCATGACAAACTAAATGACCTCACAAACCTTGGTAACTTAACAGAACGAAATCTATCGCTACTCTTGTTGTTGTTGTTGATGATGATGGTGATGTCGAGGAAGTCGAAAATGGTGATGCAATGTACGCAAAAGGGCCCCGGGACTAGTTTCCTGTCTTAAATAATTTAACCGGGTAGAAGTCAGAAGTAACACGTTGGAGGCTGAACTAGCGGAGAATCTTGAATTTAACAGCATGCTTCTGATGGCACAAAACTGTTGTGTGACCCAGGTAAGACTAAACATCGCTCTTCCGCTGTTGTTGATGATGATGGTGATGTCGAGGAAGTCGAAAATGGTGATGCAATGTACGCAAAAGGGCCCCGGGACTAGTTTCCTGTCTTAAATAATTTAACCGGGTAGAAGTCAGAAGTAACACGTTGGAGGCTGAACTAGCGGAGAATCTTGAATTTAACAGCATGCTTCTGATGGCACAAAACTGTTGTGTGACCCAGGTAAGACTAAACAGTTGGAACCAATGTTTTCAACAGGGTAGTACGTGGACAGGAAGCCCCCAAAGCTCGTACCTGAAGCCTCCTAGTTTTGGTCATTAAGCATCTTGGTCCACGCAGTCAGCGTCATAGAAATTCATTCCTCTCAGCTGAGTCTGAAACTGTCGGACGTCCACGCTGGTCAGTCAAGAGCACCATTTGCCAACAAGTTTCTGATATGTTTGCCATAACGTCATATTGTGTACCTGTTATACTTTGAGGAGACACTCAATATACATATTCGCGATAACAGAACTATCGGCAGCATTAGTATTGCGTAGTAGCGAGCTTACCAAAACCTCTACTTGCTACTTATCGAAAACTGTCCAAAGTTTTCAGCCAGATATCTTTAACCCGTTAAGACCAGCACATTTAATCCAAATTTTTATTACGAATAAGTTTTTTCTGGTCCTAAGAAACAGTCGCAACGTCTTAACAACTATATCGGGAGAAACTGAAATGCTTGTGTACAAATTCAGCCCATTGTTCTATTTTTTCTACAACAAACGGGTAACTATCAACAGTAACATTGATCTCAAACAAAAACAAGGGGCATTTACGATCTGTTGACTGTCATGTCTCAAGTTTCTTGGGCATTCTGACTTATTTGCCTAGTTCATTGATTCGGTGGCTTGGTAGTAAATTGCAAATGTCCCAGTCCGCACTGGATACAGAACCCTATTGACCATCTGTTGTAGTAGTCTGGCTACCCAGTAAGTTAGTTTACCAGGAGTGTGTGGCAAAGAAATAAAATTAATAACATTAGGTTGGGTATACAATAATAAAAAGGTCAGATGAAACAGATTCACTAATAATTGTTCCCTTTAAAATAGTTCGTCTTTGGCCCAGGTCAGCGAATAAACAATAATCCAATTATGGTGTTCCCGGGGCCTTCTTCTAAACAGTTCCCACATATAATAGATTCCGAAGATGGACTGAAATGTTTTGATACCAGAGTTAGCACATGAGCCTCACGAATGACCGCTGCAAGCGCAATCGAAATCAGAAGGGACAGTCGAAGCACATGACCACGTTTGTATTGCGAGAAATTGTACAAGTGCGCGTTTTTGTAGTTTCCGTACTCAAACAAAAAGCAAACAAAAAAAAACAAAACAAAAAAACAAAACAATTGACGAAATACGTATTGTTATAATGGAAGCAAAATAAAGGTACAAAACACCACATTGTAAAACTGTGTGGATCAATTTATTGTTTTATTGCTCGACGTGTTTATTCAAGGTTGTCATCTAATGAGCGGTTTTCTGTCCTATCTTTTGCGTCACTCCCAATGGAACCGAACTGTATCCATTGCTGCTTTCTGCTCAACCAAATTCATTCTCCCACAATTTTCGGTGGAGCTGTCAATCAGCAAACCATAATAAAGCCCTTCTCCTGTATGACAGACCAAAACAGAGGCGTTGTCCGGACCTGTAAGGCACATTCATGTAATTTTTGTGGGAGGTTTGAACGATTAGAAGATGACCTTGCCTATATGCATTCTTCCACAGATAGTTGATGAATTGTACCGGATTGATCCTCACAATTCTTCGAGACACCGTTTCTAACCCTCCAGACCACTGAAAAGCAGTGTGTACATTCATTACCTTGCAGTATTTGGAAGGTGCATTTACCACTTCATCGGCCCAGTCAAGAAAACCAAGGTTCTTGGAGAAGATTGAAAGACCACCTCCACGACCAGTAACTCCGACGATTATTCCGCCAACAGGAGTGAGTTTTGTTGTGATGTGGCCCGATGAGCTTGGAGAGGTTTTCTGTACAGCGTTTATTCATCTGAATTTCGTGCGCTATCCTCACTGTGAGCTGCAGGCTAGTGGCAACAATAGCTTCTTAACTCCCATTTTTCAGCCCGTTTCTACTACTCCTTTATTTGCAAGAAACACTAAGCAATTCTTTGGCTCAGATTTAATGTGCTCGTGGATCCTCCGGGTCTTTTTTATGGTGCAACCGGATAACTATCCGGAGCAAGTCTACTAGTTTCATCAGCCATGCTCAAATGTGAATCCGCGAAACTTTTCAATATGTTAACTTTCTAAATGAAAAGTTGCGCATACGAATGGAGTTTTTATATGAAATTTAAGAGAAAAGCTCAACACCTCCTCAATGCAGCAGTCCAGAGGTCTAATTGTGGTCTTAGTGACGTCTGGCCTGATGACAGATAGCTCTGAACTCGAATAGCAGTGGAGTACCTGTGTCGGCATGAACGGAAGCCTTACTAATTTGCTTTTCTCCTTATGTGCGGTATAAACAAAGTTAGGAAATATAAAGTTATTGATGCCCTGTTACAGCTCTCAAAATGACTAGGTTGCTTGACTCGTCCAGGCAGAATGCTCGCGTGTGTGGGTTGATACTGTGGGCAACATAGCACTGAAAAATTTGGTTGACATACCATCAGTTTCAAATGAAGCCACCAGAATTTTATATTCATGAATGTCGTTTGAACTTCTTCGTCGCATGATCACATAATAGTCAATCATGTACAGCATCCAATTGTGCCACCAAACAACACACTGTAGGCACCGAAATTTCATTGTACTTAACATCTGAGAAAAGTTGCGCAACGTATAGAGTTTGTTGTTGTTGCTGTTGTTGCTGTTGTTCCGCGCTCTTCTTGCACCCATTTTATCCTTATGGAGAGTCGCTGACACTACGCGTCTCACGTGCCTCAAAGCCACGAACTCCCGGTTTGTAACTTGAACAATTCAGCGTTCGGCCACAGAGAAAAGATAACATCCACCTGGTGAGTCAAACATCCGTCTGAGAAATCGTCACCCAAAGTGCTGGTCAGCATTTGTGGCCAGTTGATGTGGACCATGTGATTAAAGATATTGTGGAACACAGTTTTCTTAGTGCCTTCTTAATACCGTAAACCAGTATCTGGATAGCCCCTTGATAGCCTGATGCACTTAGTCAAACCCGAAAGCCAATGAACGCGCGAATCAGCTGATCTGTTGAACACTGCCAAGTACAGTGCGGCCGAAAACCGGCTGTTTATAAAGCTCATGTGGAAAGTGTTACGGTTCTGTCACGCAGCGAGCCGAAAACCGTTTATAAAGCTCATGTGGAAAGTGTTACGGTTCTGTCACGCAGCGAGCAAACAATATGATAATGCGGATTGTGGCAATACATACTCCCCAGCTATGTTGCTTGATCCAGACTCCTAGCACGGTGAATAGTAAGAAGACGAAAACCTCGGACACAAACTTTAATAATCCAACAACACACGATCAACAGGCGATGCCCGGAGCTTCCGAACCCAAGTCAGTGGAAAGAATGGTATCCTGTACGTGGTCGGATTT